CATTAAATTTCATGATAACAACAACAACGACAAAAAAAAGAAAAGAAAAGAAAATCATTTCATATGCCTATTGGGAATTTTTTCTTATTCTTTTCAGTGTTTTCAGTGTTTTTTAGTTTTGATTGTCATCATTATTGTAAGTGTGTGTAAATTATCCACAAACTTTTTTTTTTTTTTGTCAAATCATATAATAATAGCATTTGAAGAAGAGAATTGTAAAATTTTTTCTACCTTTAAATGAAAATTGAATAACAAAAAAAAAACTATAAAAAAAATATATCATTATTTTCCTTTGTGATTGATGATATTTGATGGTGATGATAACATTTGATGCATTTCTATTCAGTTCTGTTATGCTTTATGAATCAAAAAAAGAAAAGAAAATTGAAATCGGTTTTTTTCTCTCTAATTGTTAAAGTATTCAATATTTTGTTGTTGTTGTTGTTGAAAATTTTTTTTCAATTGTTTGAAATGTTGAATGAATTCATCGATAAAAATAGGAAAAGAATGAAATGAAAAGAAATGAAAAGAAATCCAAAAGATAAAAAAAAATAATTTCCTGGTAATGTGAATCGCGATATGAAAGAAAAAAATGAATTGAAATTTGAATTTTGTTCAACTTTCCTTTTTATAAAAGAATGATAAAAAAAAGTTTGCTCAACCATTATTATGGTTGATTTCATTATTATTTCCTTTTAGTTAGTTAACGACTACAATGATGATGATGATGATCAGAACCAAAATGAGAGAAAAAAAAATACAAGATTTTAGTTTGGGTTTCCGTTCTTTATTTGAATTTTTTAAAAAAAATTGTTTCTTAAAACCGATAAAATTGATTCGATTGATTCGAAGAAACAAAAACACAGCCATACTTTTTTCTCCAAAAAAAAAGCAAACTTCACTGCTTTTCATTTTATTGATTGTGAAAGATACAAATCTGATTCGAAACAAATGGAAACAATTTTTTTTGTTTTTGTTTTCTTGTTCGATATCCAAAAAAAAAAAAATTTTTATCAATTATTAATTGCAAAATTTCGTTCAGTTTCTTTCTACTTCTGTTCATGTTTTTTGTTTTGTTGTTGTTTTCGTTGTTGTTGTTGTTGTTGTTACTATCAAAACTAATCAATCAATTAGATTTTTGTTTTTCCTCTTGTATTTAATTTATCTCTTTATTTGTTTTTATTATGCACGCAAAATATTAATCATTTAAACAGGAAAAAAACCAACAACAACAACAGAATAAACCACAATGTAATTATCAAATGATGATAAAGATGTGTAACGAAAAAAAAATAAAGACCAAAATACTCTCATTAATTATTCTGTATTCACAAATTTTACAATCGATTTATTTTTATATATTATAGATTTGTTAATGATGATAATTTTTGTTTTTTTGCCCACTAATATTACAAACCTTTTACAAATAAAATAAAATAATCTTCAAATTGTAAACATTCGCACACACACACACACACACAAGTTTGATTCCTTATTATTTCTGGAACAGAAAAAAAAAATTTTCCCATACATTTTTTTGTTTGTTTGTAGTAAGTATTGAGTTTGCGTCAATGTTTTTTTTTACCGTTTCTCGTTTATATAACAAACAAACAAACAAAAAAAAAATTTTGGTTTCATCCCTCCAATTTTTTGCGTATAGGAAGCTATATTTGAAAAACAAATTCTATATTCATTTGAAAAAAGAAAAATGGTACGAATTCCAATTTTTTTTTTTTGACAATGATAGAATTTATTCATTTTTCAATCGTTGATCGGTTAAAACACATTCACACAGAGAATAAAAAAAACATCTTAACATTGATAAATTTTTTTTTTTAAACAATCAAATTTTCGAAGAAAAAATAAAATTTTTTTTTCGTTATCAAATTTATTTTGAATTTGTGCCTTTTTTATATTTGTTTGTTTGTTTGTTTGTTTTTTTAGTAAAATTCCTATAAATTTGTCTTATAAAATTTATTTGTGTTTTGGAAATTCTGAAAACCTTGTTTTTTTTTAATAATAATAATAATAATTTTATTAAATTAACACACTGCCAACAAGATGGCATTTGTGTTTACTTGAAAAAAAAAGAAAAGAGAGAAAAAAATTATAATTTCATATTAATATACTGTTTACAAATATAATTGAAAAGTAAAAAATTATTTTTACAATTTACAAATTCACTAGCACTGGATATATAATGATCATTTAAATTGTAGAAAGTGCAATTGAACAAAATGTGTTGCGGACTTTGATATTCGTAACCACACTCACATTCTGGTGAATTGACTATATTCATTCGAAATAAGTAGCTGTTAAATTTACCGTGGCCAGAAATAAACTGAATATTAGAAAAATTCGGGTGAAAAAATTTTGGTATGGGTAAAGATGGAAAAAAATCACGAAAAATTGGATTTGTATCTTGGTAATATCTGGTGATGAATTGGTTCTTCCTACTTTCACGAACCAAACCTTTAATCAAACCATCTGAATCAAACGTATTTGCCAGAATTTCACAATAATCAGACAGTTTGCAGACATCGCAGATTACTGAAACAATATTTTGGGAGATAGTACGATATGCACAAATAGCTTTAACTAGAATTTGATGTTGTAATGAATTCAATTTCAGTTTAGATTTAACCGGAATCATATTAAACCAAATGTGACAACCATAAACAATAGCCGGTCTAATCATGCCAATAAACAATTTAATCCTTTTTTTGGAGTTAATGCCCCAAGTATTTCCAATCAAAGCGAACAGAATATTACAGATTTTACCAGTTTTTTCAACAATATTATTGATGTGAGGGGTAAAATTAATTTTATTGCGATGACGGTGATTACCAAAGGTAATACCAAGAATCTTAATCGTATCACTTGGTTCTACACGTATGTTGCTGTTTAATCTAATGACCGGTTTTGATTTATTAAAAAGATAAAGAATGTTTGTTTTCTTGTGATTGATTGACAATTTCCTACTACAGCACCAGGAATCAATAAATGAAACACATGAAATAATTTTATGTGATAATTCTTGCTTCGTATCAGCCCAGCAAATGACCGTAATATCATCAGCGAATGCAACAATTTTTGAATTTTGAATATTGTATGATTCAAGAAGATCGTTCAACAATATTATCCACAATAAAGGAGATAACGCCCCACCTTGGGGACAACCATTCGTTAATGATTTCCAAATAGAAATATCTGCATAGTCAAAATTGATGGATCGATTGGTAAGATAAGATTTAATAATCAATATTAAATCAGCTGGAAAATTATGAGAGTCCATCTCATATAAAATCGCCGGCCACCATGCCTTATCGAAAGCTGATTGTATATCAATGGCAATAATAGCTACTTTTTTATCAGCTTTCATTTCAATAGCTGTATTTATAATCGATTTTAAAGCAGACACTGTTGATTTACCTCTTACAAAACCATGTTGATTAGTATTCATATATGATTCAAAATGTCGATAAATTCTATTATTGATTAGTTTTTCAAATAATTTGGCTATATGAGAAATCAAACTTATCGGCCGATAACTTTTGACATCGTTATAGTCAGATTTATTAGGTTTAGCAAGGACTCTGACTGTGGCCAGTTTCCATGCATCCGGAAAATAACCAAATTGAATACATTTATTGAAAATCGATAAGATAGAAGGAGCTAATAAATCAACCGATGCTTTAATCATGTTGTTTGAAATAAAATCAAGACCCGGAGCTTTCTTAGAATTAAGTTTTTTAATATAAGAAACTAATTCATCAATTGAAAACGATATATGGGTATGATTGTTCAGATTCAATGTATGATTTCTTATGCCACCAGAAAACGTATTGTCGGAAGAAGGATCATCATCAGGAAAAAGAGAATCCAACAATTGATTCATAATAAATAACTTGTTCGAAGGTGGTGAGCGATCAATCATAGGAATTCGGTTGTCTGACTTTTTTAGCATTGATTTTAGTAATTTAAATGTATTACCAAAGTGATTATTAGAATCAGCTTCTTCAAGAAACGAGCGAAAACTAGCTCTTTTTGCTAGACGCACATTTTTAATATAGCTATTACGAATTCTTTTATAATCATCTTGGGTAACAAGACAACTGCGTCTATAATATAAATTTTTGATGAAGTGAAAATGTCTTTTTTGCAATTCAAGATCATTAGTCCACCAAGAATATTTCTTCGGATAGGGAGAAGAATTGCGAACAGGAAAAGTACAATATGCCGCTTCTAGGTAAATATTAGACAGTTTAGAAACAGCTACATTGATATCATTAGGTGATGAACAACTATCAATAAAACAATTCAATTCTTGCAATTTATCAATGTCGATATGATTCGTATAATCTTGTATATTAGATTCGATGAATTTCCACGTAGATTTAATAACATGTTTTTGAAATTCATCATTAGATGATACAATGTGAAATTTAATAGTCTCGTGATCTGACAATTCAGTGGCACGAGAAACAGACCAATTTGCGATATAGTTATATGCTTTAGAATTTGTAATTGTCAAATCAATAATACTAGCATTACGACATGTTTTGGTTTTATCATTAATCACAATAAGATCGTGATTATCAATTATTTCTTTTAGTTTATATCCATTTTTATTGACAATCACATCATGCCAATACGTATTCCTAGCGTTGAAATCACCACATAAAATGATAGGAAAATTTGAAAAATTTGAAAGAAGAGATTCAAAAAAATCTTGATGAACATCACAGAAAACGTTGGAATGAAGATATATATTTACAAGAATAATATTAGTAGATTTAGTTTGAATCGAAATAGTTGTAGCAAAAGAATTGGTAAATGACATTAAATGTTCAACAATAAGGTTATTATTAAGGATAACAAAACCATTGTAAATTACACCATTCAACATATTACTATGAAAAATTCTTGAGGAAATTGAAAATGGAAAAACGTTGTTGAAAAGATAAGGCTCTTGGAGAGCAAGAATATCAATATTATCATTAGTGATCGAACTTTTTAATTCATTATGAGCTGTTAAACTTTTTCTTAAATTTTGTTGTATAATTTTTAATCTATTGAATTTGCATTGGAGAAGCGGAAGTTGATTGTTGTGATGAAAGTTCGATGGTTGTTGTTAACGATGAACTACTGGCAGGTAGAGTGTATGATTTGAATGCTGTTTGACTCATTAGACGATCAATTTGTTTTTTATATAAAGGGCAGCTGTCACGATTAGGTCTATGACAAATATCATGTTGATGAACACCATCCTTAAAAAAACTGACACAATTACAACATTTGTTGTTTTTCGAACAGTTATGGATACCTTCTTCACCGCATTCGGAACAAATTGGTTTATTTTTACGTGGACAATCATTAGCTTTATGATCATTAAATTTAAAACAATGTTTACATTGCCGAACAAAAATACGTTGATGAAATCTAATGGCTTCAATATCGGTGTATAAATAATTAAGATTGCAGATACGTTCATAAATCCTGGGAGAAACACGAAGAGCAATATCCCGAAAAGGAAGGTCAGAGCGAAAATCAAATAAAACTTCTACTTCAGTGTCGAGATTGCTAATTTGTTCGTTGACTCTGCACAGAATATTTGGAAGATCTTTAGAACTGGTGAGTTTACTCACTTTCTTAAGTACTATAGTTGGATCCCTTGGTTTGGGTATGAATACATTGGCGATTTCATTAATTTTATCTTGACTTTGAAAATATTGAATCAACGTATCTAAGTCGTCACTATTGGGAGTTTTGATGATGTTACCTTTATTGTTCCGAATAATTTTATTAATCTTCAAATATGGTTTCTTTTTCCTGACTTCCGAAATAGCGTTGTTGACTTCCGAATTCAAATTAGCATCAACCATACCTTTTTTAGCATTGACAAACAATGCATATTCATTCGGTTTTGACTGAATTGTCGGAACATTATTCTCTTTAGGTTTAGCGGCAATAACATTGTATGGAACCGGAGAAAATAATTTATTTTTAATATCTTGTAATAAATTCTTTGTGTCCATTGCATTGTGATCAATATTTGAAGAAAGATTAACAAAAAGATTATTCATTGTAGTAGCAGCAGTATCAATAACTTGTGCATATTTAGCCAAGGATCTTTTGTCTATGATCGTACAACATTTATGAATGATATCAAAACAATCCTGAAAATTTAAATCGGCAATTTTATTTGGATCAGATATAAAACTATCAATCAATTTCATTTCTTCTGACAAACTCTTGAACAGTTTGGACGAACCAGGTTCAAGTTCAGAATCCGAGGGATTCTTATTTTTGTTAGTCATAGCTTATAGCTATAACCAGCTGATAGTTAAACTACCAAAAACAGCAAAAATTTCAATAACGGGCCAAAAATAAACACCAGAATATAATCAAGAACAATATCAATAACCAGAAATCAGAAAATGAAGATTACGGTAAAGATGAATACAAATTAATAAAGTATAATTAACAAAATTTGCAAATCAAGAAAACAATCAAAAAAAACACGTGTGCTCACAACAGTGCTCACTGCGCATTACAATTATGATGATAATCATCGTTATGGTTATCATTATGATTATGATTATGAT